TAAAATTTTTGCGATACTTCGATATTTGTACAATATATATATACGTAAATGGAAATCACCTGATTTTGATATCTAGCCAGCTAAGCTGGCTTAGCTGATTTTTATAAAATTGGCTTAGTCAGTCGATCATTTTGACCCGACTAATATCCCTAATCATAACTTCATAATCAGATTTACCTATATCTTTCAAACTTTGAATTAAAGTTTTTCGACCTGTTTGATTAGTAATTTTTCTGTTTGTTAGTTCAATACCAGTTGCTTGTGTAGTTATGTGTATAAAACCCTTAAGTCTATTTTCTCCTATGTAAAAATTTTTATACTAGAATTCTACTTGTTCTGGATCTATAAATAAATATATAATTAAAAATAATAATAAAATACCAATACAAATATATTATATTTGCATTAATATATATATCTTTAAAATCTTCAAGCAGTTGCAAATAAAAATTCTCATTAGCTTTAGGAGGTTATTTAAACAAATAAAAATTATATAATTGCATAATTTCTTCATTCGAAGATACTGTAAAGTGCTATATACAAGATCCAGGTCTGTTACATTCCACCAATTTTTAAAGTAGACCCCCAGGTCTAGTACATGCTGAGAAGTTATATCATGAAAGGGAAAATTTTAAAGTGCATACACATTTTGTATTTACAATAGGCAGTCTAACTATTTAAAAAAAGCTATATTTGATTAATATAGATTTTGTAGTTCGTGCCCGGGTCTAATTCATGTGGATCTACTATTTGGAAGAACCTTGTATATAGCACTTTACAGTAAGTATATTTTTTTACAATTTGAAATTGAATTAAAACCATGTTGATTTGTTTTACTCTTATAAATTACTACTTTGTAATTTTCATTATTCTTAATAAAGCTTGATACTTTTAATAAGTAATGTTCTCTATCTCAAAGAAATATAGCATTACAAAAGAATACCTGTTTTAACAATCCCCATGGATACTCAACATATATAGAGTGATGATCAAGAACTCTTTTGATTTTCTCTAAGCTTAATCCAACTAATTCTTTAGTTTTAACTAAGCCTTTTTGTCAAGATATTGAACTTTTTCTTTAAGAAGTTTGTACAATAGTAGAAATTTGATACAATCAAGAAGATCAACTGGTTTTAGATTTGATTTTTCATTAAGATAACATGTAAATGCATTAACTGCTAATCTAATCAATGCAACTGTATAGCCTAGTCATCTTTTTTTTTAGCTTGAGTAAAGTAAAAAACAAGAACTTGTTTTAATTCAGTAAGTAATGGTACTGTACTTCATGAAGTTGAAATAGATATCCACTTCTTTTCTGTATTGTTCAAACTGTAATATTCAATTATTTGTTGTTTTTTCTGTATTTTTAACAGTAGACTTTTGCAAAAAAAAATCTATTTCATTTTGAGCTTGTTGTATAAATGTTTTGGATCAACTTTTTTTTGCCATCATTTAATAAAAAATAATTTTTAAACCAGGTTTAAGAAAGAGTATATAAATTAATAATAAACTATTTATTAAATATTTATATCAATTTTTGATTATATAATAAATATGAGTAAAAGTTTATTTAAAAAACATAAATAGTATAAATTATGATCAATGACTGTCAAACTCATAGACAGATATTCATATGATTGACTGTTTAAAACAATTTAATTTTATATTATTTATACAGTTTAAAGTACTTTTCAAAAAAAAGAAAACTACTATGAATAAACAAAAAAAGAAGAATATAGAAAGTTTTATTAGCATTGTAGGACTCTACTATTAAAAATAATAAAATTTCTTTTTTGTTTTAGAGAAGTTAGTATGGTAATAACCTAATTTTATAAAGTTGCTATTATACTAACTTCTCTAAAACAAAAAAGAATTTTGATTATTTTTAATAGTAAAGTTCTACAACACTAATAAAACCTTCTATATACTTCTTTTTTGTTTATTTGTAGTAGTTTTCTTTTTTTTTGAAAAGTACTTTAAACTGTATAAATAATATAAAATTAAATTGATTTAAACAGCCAATTATACAAATATCTGCCTATAACCACCAAACTATAATACCAATATAGTATGATAATTTTGAGATACAGCATGTTGGTACAGTGACAATTTTTTGCTGATATAACAATTGTCTGTCATGTGCTGCTTTGCAGCACATAATAGCCAATTGTTACTCCAACAAAAAATTGCTATCATACCAGCATACTGTTATCTCAAATTATCATTATATAAATATGGACTATGCATCAGTTATAACTGCTACTTTGTACCCAAAACTTTTAAAAAATTGTATAGTTGTCTATATTATCTTTTATACAACTGCCAAATGTGAAGCAAAATTATCTGTCTGCAAGAAATTCTATAGTGGGAGTTAAGTTCAAAACCAAATATTTGAAAGTTTTCATCTTTAACTACAGTACACAAAATAGTTGTTGATTACAGACTATCCAACACACTAAAAGTTCATTTAATGTTTTAATATTTTTTCTTTGCAAATATCATATTTTTAAACAGCCCACAAAGGCCTCAGCTAAAGCATTTAATAGTATTCAGTTTGTGGTTGCCTTTGAAATATTATTTAATTGTATTAATATCAGTGGTAGTACTGTACTGTATTTTAAAGCACAGATATAGATAATAAATTCTTTATCTAGAGATAGTTTAAAATAACCTCAGATAAACAATCTCGTGTTTTAACAAACAACAAACAGTACACATAAAATCAAATTGCAAGTAAACAAGCAACATATGCAAAATGCTAGAACTCATTAATTACAAAAACTTCTTTACTAAGTTGAATTAGAAAGAGTAGAAATACAAAAGGAGCAAAATACATTTATTTTTGAGGCAGGCAGAAAAGTTGCAGAGTATTTAGGAACTAGTGAAACATATCTTATCACAATTGTTTGCAACGTTTTACATTTCTGTGATTATACTCAACACAAGAGAGTTAGAGATCAAGACATAACTGAAGAGGAAAAAATTCTTCTAGATATCACTTATAACACCAACATGCAGGTCGATAACATAGATAATGCTAACTTGCAAAACAGTAGCATTAAAATTAAATCCGAGCCAATTCCTATAGAAACTTCACCTTCACATTCTACTAAGATCTTTAAAGAAAATTACAACAATGTGATTACAGAAGAGAAAAAACTGTCAGGTTATTCTAAGATACAGAATATGGATCAAAGTGATGAGAACAAAATTAAAATCAAAATTGAATTATGTCCTATGGAAGTAACTCCAACGGTCCAAGTTGTTGCAACATCTACAATTTTAAATAATATAGAATTAGAACTTCAAGAAAACCTATGTAAACACAACCTCAAAGCACGGGAATTAAACCTGCATATTACAGAGAATAGTTTAGAACTAGTTAAAAATATTTTAGCCCAAGAAGAATGTGGGGCACTTGACTATGGTCTAAATGAAATTATTAGGAAAAAATCTCAAACAAATATAAAAGCAACAACACAAGCAAGTACTAAAAAATTTAAACAACACGAGGATATATTTAATTCAGTTTGGGCCCCGAAAAGCAAGATAAATTATCACAAACAACCACAAAACCTGGTTTATTTTTTTACAATTTGGGATCTACCCAAGGAAACTAGTGCATCAACTATCAAAACATATCTTAGGTTCTTTGGCACAGCTTCCGTTCTCGCATAGCAACAAAACTTCAGAACTAAGGTAGCTTATATTAAAATCTTGCCAATCTCTAAACAAAGAACAAAGTTACTAGAAGAAAGTTAGTCAGTACATTTAGATCAAGGAAAAACATATCGTACAATGCCTGGAAAGTTCAATATCGCTGTATTAGAAGAAAGAAATAACTATAAATATATAATTTCAAACATACCAACAACTGCATAAGATAGTCTTCTTTTACGCCAACTCAAAAAATTCAAAGTTCAAGCAGTTCACATATTAAAAAATCAGAATGATAACCCAAGAAAAAGAGCTTACTTATATTTTAAATCAGAAGAAGATCTCATATTAGCCCAAAGTAGCAATATCTATTACTTTAACACTAAGCTTGAATGGTACCAAACTTCAGAAGACCTAACTAGAAAGTATGCCCTTAACACATTTTATTACAAGAGAGAAGTAAAAAATACGAACAAAGGCAAAAGATCATTGAATGAAAATGAAACATCAAGGAAAAAGAATCAAGCCAAACATACATCTTTCAAATCAAACAGTAAAACTAGAAACTCTATTTATACTTTTTCTAAAAATAAGGAAAACAGTGGAGATAATAGTAATCTCAGATCCTGAAGCAATACTCACAAGCCCCTTAGAAATATTGAAAACGAATATGCAATTAGATCAAATAGGGTTAAATTAGGAGAGAAAAAAGAGCAAAGTAAAAAACAAATACCTCAAGAATTCAGATTAACTTGAGATGAAAATATGCACGAAAAGATCAAGCCAAAAAATAGGAGCTCTAGTAATCCAAGACAAATCTCTACATCTGCATCTGATATACACAATAGTATTTTAGAGCAAATCTTAAACAGATTACAGAAAATAGAAGAAAAACAAGGGCTTCGGTTCCCAATTGTTCCTAAGGGTGCCCCAGTTGCATTAATAGAAACAAAGGAGCAACAGGGCAAACTCCACTTAAGAAAATCTATAATACTCTAGATTTTAATCTAAATTTAGCATGTTACAATATTAATGGTCTTACAATCAAAAAATTTTATATTTAATAGACTGGGCTAAAAATAAAGATATAGATATTTTAGAAATCACAAAAACAAACATAGTAGAAAAGGAAGGCCAATATATACTCCCCCAGAGAGCTCATTCAAAGGCTATTGGTCAAGTGCAAATGTTGATAAGAAAAAAGGCTCTGGAATAGGAGTTCTAATTAGTGAAAAAATTTAAAAAAGTTTAGCCAAACTTAGAAAATATAACAAATACTTACTGGAATTGTTTTAATTATAGACTATCTAAAAATTAATATTCTTGTTGTGTATCTCCCTCCCAATGATAAAAAGCAAATCAAGAAGATCCAACAACAAGTTATAAATGCATATATTAACAGATCTAGAAACTCAGAAATAACAATCATGGGAGATTTTAATCATATAACAACACCAGAACTCAATAAACAGAGTCACAGTAGTACATGTGTATACAAAAAACTTCCATTGCACATTTGGATGCTCAATCAGAATTTTATAGACTCTTTCCGACACTTAAATCCTGTCACACAAGCCTATACATGGCCTAACAGTAGTACAGCTACATGTATCGATCAGATCTAAATCTCAGGAGGCTTAGCAAATCATTATTTAAGGCAGAAATCTGGGATATGGATCTAATTACAGAAAGCGATCACAATACAATACTAGTAAACTTAAAATACAATAATATAATGCTAGATCAGGCCCAAAGTGTCAACAAAGAAAAAAGTTATCACATAAAGTTTCTTTATGATAAGGCTTCATCTGAAAATTGGGAAAACTACAAGACTTCACTACAATCTTTTCTTAAAAAATGTACACCTTGTTAAACACACTGGAGAAAAATACAAATGAAATATCACAACAAGATTTAGATTATATTTGGTCTTCAATTGAAACAGGGATTTTATACGTAGCTAAACAAAACATCTCTTTTAAAAAAATAGGCCTTCCGTCAAATAATAAACGTTCATCAAAAAAGAAATAATCAAGGTCTCCTTTACATGAAAATACAGTTAATATAAGCAAAATCTGTCAAGAAATTAAAGACTAGCAAGAGAAAACGAAGATCAAATAGTGAAGTCCATAATAACTGAAGAAAGAATTCAGGTATAAAATCTCTTCTATACAAAATTAGCACCAGACATGGTTTTAACATAGCACTTGACGAAACTGTGACATTAGAAGAATGGGTGCAGGATATCAAGGGCTGGCTTTATATCTTCAATGAAAAATAGGCAGCAGAAATAGAAAAACAAAAAAATAAAAGAATCAAGGAATTTACAGATCAGCGCTGTCTTATAATGCAAGATGAGCAGGGTAAAATGCTCAAAAGTATACTGGACAAGCCCTTCTCGAAGGCTAAAATAGATAGAATTTTAGAAGAGGTTGAAAATGAGTTCGAATTATACACAAACTCTAATGATGTTCTATCAAAAACTTATGCCTTTTTTCAAGACTAGTACAACAAAAGAAACCAAATATAACTTCTCTAACTCCTGAGTGGAAGGAAATCTACAAACCACAAGCAGAAATTAATGCTTTCTGGTATACGAATTTAGAAGAAGAATGGTACAAGATGCTTAAAAGAGCTCAAAAACAATACTGCACCAGGCATAACAAGGATTGGATACGTGCTTATCAAACAAGCAAATGGTTATATGCAAGATCTTTTTAGAAATTCAGCTCAATTTGCCTTAAAACTGGAAAAATACCAAGTAAATGGAAGCTTAGCTAAATTTAACCAATCCCAAAGTCAATGGAGTGGGACTTTACCTTAAACACTCTTAGACCAATTGCGTTACTAGAAACATTTCATAAATGTGTAACAAAGATCTTAGTAACATAGTTCTCAGAAATATTAACAAGAAATTCAATCTTAAAAGGTCCAAATTATGCAGGCCTGCCTGGTGACTCTATATCAAAACCTATTTTTATTTTAAATAGCATTATAGAGGATGCAAAAGAACAGGTGAAAGAACTTTAGCTTCTGTTCCAAGATATGCAAAAAGCATTTGATTCAGTCTTTCTTCAAATACTCAAGCTTGCAATAGAAAGAATTAAAATTCCAAGCATATCGACGAATTATATTATAAACTTATTCAAAGATCAGAGAACCCAAATCTTAACAGCAGTAGGCCCCACAGAATGTATCACAGCATCAGAAGGTATAGAGCAGGGAGAAGTTCTGTCTCTACTCATTTTGTGTATATTTTATGACCCACTAATACATAGAATTCAAAACAACAAAAATCTGGGCTATACAATACTTCTCAAAGAGCCACTAGATCTGCATAAGAATACATACAAAGAAACAAAGTTTCGCCAAGCAGCTTTAGTGTATGCAGACGACACAACTTGGATAGCTAGTAGCAAGTTATAGCTAGAAGAGACACTAAAAATTGCAAAAAATTCTACTCAATAAACGATATTTGTGTAAACCCAAAAAAGTCAAAGTTGATAACTTGTAACTCGACAAAAAGCTTAAACAATCAGAATATAATTCTAGCAAATGAAAAAGTGGAAGCGGAAAAAAGCAAGTTACTTACAAGATTTCTGGATGTATGGATAAGCAAAAAAGCCCAAAATATATTAATCAAAAATAAGGGTAAGCAGATAGTTCTGATGACCATCAAGATACTAAGATATAAGAAACTTACACTAAGTTAGCTAATTTATTTAAACAATATGTATCTTATTTCTAAGCTTTGTTATATTCTACAAACCTCAAATTTGTCAAAAAATGTCTTGGACGAAATACATCAACTGATAATAAGACTCATAAAGAACAAAGTCGAGTTACTATATACAACAAGCAACTTTTTACTTGCATATAGAGATCTAAGAAACTGCAAATTTCTTTAGCTAGAGCTTATAATACAACAAATAACAAATCTATATCGTTGTTTAAATGGGTTAGATCAGGATAGTAATTTAGCAAAAATCCAAATCAAGCAAGGTCTTCTTAAAGCCAATTTGGTTGATAGTAATTGGCAATTCGAAACATATCCATGAATTCAATCTGGAAGCTCAATATAACATGTCTAACGTTATACAAAGCAAAAATCTTCAATATAGAAATTAAACCCACGCTTGATTGCTGGCTCTTTCAAGGTGCTGGACCACAAATAAGAGAAACAATGAATTCTCCTCTCTTCTTAAAATCATACAAAAATCTTCTCAATCTGGGTATCCTCTTCCGTAATTAACTACTTGACAGAGAAGGAAAAAAGCTCTTAACATGACAACAACTCAAGGTAACAAAAGGCAAACCAAAAGTGGGAAAAAAAGCCAAATGGTTCACTTTTCTTGAAAATATTATGCTACAAAACCCAGAAAACAGAGAAATTAAAGAAGTTCACCAAACATCTAGTCCAAACAATTTAGCACCCCTGGCACCACTCATACCTATCTCTTCAGACAATAGGAAAAAAGAATGGGTACTAATAGATAAGAAAAACAATAAATTAGAGCTGAGAAAGATTGTTAGAAAAAGTAAACATAAAGTCCTCACAGAGTATTGGGAGTTTATGAAAAATAGCTCAATAGCAGGGTATATTGAAATAGAGAAATGTGAAGAAGCATCTCTACTAAATCAGGAGGAAATTTATAGTTGGTTGAGCCAGAGTAACATTTTAACAGTAATCCCAAAGCCATTAGAAAAGGATAATTGAAAGTATATTTTAAGATATGAAGATATCTTAACTAGCAGTAAGAGTAGACAAAAAATAATAAAACTGAGAAAGGAAGAAAGTTTGTTCATTAGCATACAAAACATGAAATCTTTAGATAAACAATTAATAACAGATCAAAATTTTAACATAGAGTTAGATAGTAGTTTAAATAATAGTTTAGATTTAAATATTAGTTTTAATATGAATAGTTTTTGGATATACACAAATAGTTCATTAGTTCAAGATATAGATAATTGCAGTATGGGTATTGGTTGGGTACAAATAGATGAGAAACAAGAACGGTCATTATGTGAGGGTATAGCAAAGGTAGAAAATTGGCCTTCATCAACAAAACCTGAACTTATCGCAATTTGGCTTGCTCTTTTTACGATTCCAATGAATAGTGATATTTGTATTTACTCAGATAGTGCAGCAGCAATCTTCAATATAGACAAAATCAAAAGTGAAAAGAGATTTAATAAGATCTTTAAAGAAAAAAACTGGGACATTCTAATCAAAATTGCAGATCTCATTAAAGCAAAAAAGATCAATCCGGAACTTAAAAAAATTAAAGGCTATAGCAACAACAAATGGAATAACAGAGCAGATACACTTGCAAAAAAAGCTACCTCTTTAATACACTCAACAAACATATATTTGGACCTTAATACAAGAATCTCTTTTCCTCTTTTTTGGGGAAAATATAAAGTTAAAAAAGCAACTAGGCCTTTTCTTAAAAAGATTTTTGAGATTTGGAACGATACGAATTGGAGACTAATGAGCTCAATTCTAACCTTAGAATCTGACTCAAACAAGCCCACATTGGATTGGTTTTCATATTGGAAAAGATTAAAAAAGCTTAAAGGTGTGAAATGTAATACATTAAAGAAAAGTAAGAAGCTAGCCATGCAATTGAAGTATCTCTCAGAAAGTTTACCAGTCCTCAAAACATTGGCAATACAAAGACCAGATATTTATACAAATAGTGAATGTTTAGCATGCAACATTGGCATAGTAAAGTTTCAGAATCACCTAGCTGAATGCGATCACTATAAATTAATGTGGCAAAGTATCGAGACTACAACTTTGGAACTGGTATGGTCCAAATTTACAAAAGAAGAAAAGAAGAGATGCCCGAAAAATCTCTTGTCTAAGATTCTAATTGGGGAGACTAACTCTAATAGGTAAGAAAATAGAAAGCTATGGATTAAAGACCTAACCATGTTGGACTTATTTAATAGAATCTTAAATCTGTGAATTTCATTAAAAATGACATCCTATATTACAGAACTTGCCACGCATATAATTTGGAACAGCTTTTATAATTTTATCTGAAAAGACAGATATATCAAGATTGTTAATTGGAAAAAGAATCATAATATAAAGAAGAAGAATAAAGGAATTAAGAAGAAAAAAGAAGTACAACCAAAGAAGAATACTCCAACTATTCATAAAGAAAAATCTAAAAGAGAAGGGGTTGAACTATTTGTAAAGGATAAGGAGAAGTACAATATATAGTATAATGTAGTAGAGAATTGGATACAAAAGGGTGTAAACCCCTTTTGGACAAGCTCTTAAAAGAGTCTATTTCTAGCTTATCTGTAAGCCAGTGCGATAAGTTGTGCCCAGGTAATCATTAGATAACCAGGTGAAGTTGGGCTTTTATTTAGTCTTAGAAATTA